ATTGCAACCGTTTGATTACGAGCTTCTTCGTCTCTTTATCCGCGAATCAAATGATTCACCGCGCCACAGACGTGTTCTCGAATTACCGGCGGGCACAATGCACGCTGACATTACACAATTTTCATGACAGCGATAGGTGCGAACAATGGAAGCCGGCTGCTACGCGCGTTTAGTCTTTGCGCGCCGTTCTGGTTATCGTTGCACGCATATTTCGTGAAACAAATTGACCAACGGTCGTAAAGCCCCGCGGAATCGTGTGCGGAGCTCCTGGAAGGGCACGGAATTATGGGCAGAAACATCTTTTTCTATTTTGTTGAGAACGTTATTAAATTACTAAGCGAGTAATTCTGACAAAAATTGACTTAAAAACTACGAGAGGCAAACGTTGATCGGCAACTCGATTACGATGCACCGTCCTTCGGCTTGTTAACAAAAATCGACAATTCGGATAGACGAGATACGATTGTTCGAGCCTCGCGGCTCGCTTTTATAGTTGTCGACGATCTGCGATTATAAAAACGAGCCGCGAGGCTCGAATAATCGTATCTCCTCTTCTCAAATTGTTCATTTTTGTTTAGAAGCCGAAGAACAATTGCGAAGAAATTACTGTATTGTTCGCACGCCACGCAAGACCATAATAGCGCGATCGTAGCGATTCTTTGATACAGCATTCGCGAACTATGGTCGACTTTGCTATTAAATTTCGATTATTCCGTATATTAATCCGAGATGGTATCGAAGAAACAGTTGCGATAAAACTGGGGATTAATTTCCTGTTTGCGTTTTTTCAATAACGTTGACCGAAAATAATACTGAATTTGCACGAAAAATGCAGATCTTATCGTAGCAAGAAAGTCATAAAAACGGTGTACATTCCACGTTGGTTACAAGTCAAGGAATTAGAGATGATTTAGGTTCTCTAAATACTCGCACGCGAAGGAAGAAATGTGTGCAAGCAGCAAAGAGAGGCTCATTAGAATGCGGCGTTGTATTAATAGGAGACGCATCGAGAATCGTTTCCAAGAAACGATTAGATTTTTTTTCTTTTGTCGGAGAACGCCGGCCAGGAAGGAGAAGAAATCGAGATTGTCTGGTATCCGTTTGAGTTGCATCAACGTATGGCAATCGATAAACCGACCATAAATGTATCGTTCCGACCGTTCGCGATTTTGCATCTCGGGATTGCTAACATAAGGGAGATTGCCGATCCCTGGCGAGAAATTAGATATGCCGATCCCGCAGTTTTAACAAACGGTAAATTTACAAGAAAACCGATCGAAACTGGTTTTTCTTAATATGACGTAAACGAGCCAACGTCAAAGTGTTGGAAATCTCAGCTTCTCATGAATAAAAATGTGATCAATCGTTAATAGTTATAACGTTTCGTTCGATAATCTTAGCTTGTCGTGATTTAAAAAATTGATTAACTGTGCTCAGGCGGGGATAACAAGTTGCCGCAGCTGCATAATACCGGCATGTCATTTTCAAATTATTATAGTTATATTATGCACTGTGCAGACTTCGGAAGAATGCTATTTGCCGTCGATTGAAAAAAAAATCGTTGTTCTTCCGTAAGCTGAAGTTCGCAGCGATCAGATTTAGCGAGCTGTCGACTTTGAATTTGAAATTAATCGATTCATTGAATTTATTAAGTTTTACCCATTAACCCTTTGCACTCGAGTGGTGACTCTGAGGCACCATTAAAATTGTTGCATCACGCTCCATGATAATTTTTGTATTATAAAAGTCCAGATGTACAAAATTGTTAAAAGTCTAACTGTTGTACGAGTCGCAAGACTGTAAATTTCATATGCATAAAATGCGCTTTGTCGTATAAAATGAAAGTACCGTAAGTCAGAAAAATTAGTTTAGATTTACAGTTAAAATGGCCTCGAGTGCAAAGGATTAATTTTGAACACTCTCGTAGCTCCTTGCAATTTCATGGAAGAACAGTCGACGATCACGTTCGTCGATGTAAGAATTCGCTAAAATTTAATTCTCAAGATGCAGCCAATTTTGAGTTCCCACTTGTTACTCGGGTCGCATTCGCGCCGGCATCGGGTTCAGAAGGAACGAAGTCGCTGGTAAATCCTTCAGACTCAATGGAAGAGGTACATCAAACTGTCAATTAAGCTTTCCAATAGCACGGTCGCCGACTAAAATGCAGATTGATGTTTATAACGAATCGACCCCGCGACTCTCTCTCTCTCTCTTTCTCTCTCTGGCCACCCTATGTAGGTTGAAGCCCTGCTAGAGTTCCGAAGTTGTTTCTGGGACAGCGGTGTTTTAAAGTTCGCGTACGCGATAGTTTTGAAGCACGGAGTTCGAAGATCCAGCGACGGTTTCTATAACTTTCGGAAACTCGGCCAAACTTACGCATCACGTTCGCCATATATCCGGACAGTAGACATTAACAAATGAATCTCTCGCCGCGGGGAATCCGGCGTAAATATACGCTGCCAAATGTACAACTTTTATCCGTTTTGTCGACCGACGGTCTTCCCCAGCCTCCTGTATATTTCGAGCGTAACACCCGGAAGCTGTCGTTCCTCCACTGTTCTCGTTTCTAACACCTCGATGAAAAATAAATTGACGATGGAACTGCCTGGATTTCAAACTGATCGGATCGAACGGGAGCAATATTTAATGCGGCGATATCGGAACCACCGTTCGTCGGGTTTTCAACACTTTATTTACCCGAAGCCCGGTTATTCTCTTTTATATAATAATTTCGAGAGAACTTGCTATTCGCTGGATAATTCGCTGGATCGCGGATAAGATTATCGAATTATTCCAAATCTTTAAATTCGTGGGTTCGTGGAGCAAGATTACATTTCGTTGGAGTCTAAAAATGTACCTGAACCGACGTATTACAATGAATTAAGAATAAAGAATTGTACATAGAGAGATCTGAAACAGCGTATTAATAACGAACAACATAATTCGTACTAAAAAGTATTGCCTCGATAATATTAGTAATTGTAAAGTCTATAATTGACTAGAAATTAAATTATAAAACTCACATGGATGGAGAGCGTCGCAATTTTAAAGAGAACATTTACTTTCGTTATTTGATATTCGTTTAAAAAAAAAAATATCGATGAAATTAGAATAGAAAGCAATGTATAACGACGATGCTATAAACAAACCTGGAAATATCGAACAACGCGTTAAAAAATGTATTTGAATCTCCCGAAGATATTGATTGGAGATAACAACCTGGAAGACAAGGAACGAAATAGTGAATCAATAACGATTAACGTCGATAAGATAGCAAACTTAAATTAAAGAAATCTAAGATATATTACACAGAGATCAACATTTCAAGCAAATAAAGTAGATATTCGCAGAAACTTGAACAGCAAATTAATATCGTGTTCAGGTTTACTAATTTAAATGCCTTTTATATATTTTATATATATTATTATATATATATTTTATATTTTATATTTTTATTAAATACGTTTATATACATATATTTATTTATATATGTATTTTTGTTAGCAGAAAATCGTTGAAAGACAGAAATGTACACGTACAAGTTTGCAAATTGTTTAACAAGGGACACGGTAAATTGAGTTACCGAAAATGGCAAGGCTACGCACAAGTAAAAGTGACAACCCTAACGGTATAAAAATTCTAATCGCACCATTACCGTTGAAGCGATTCCACTCGATGCAGGTTTCGCATTGTTTTCCAAGCTTTGGCGTGCAACGCGCGCACATCACGCATCGGTGTTCATCGGAACAAAATAAATGCTTCCGCAATGCATAGTAATCTCGGTGTCGGGCATAGAGAGGAAGAAACCAATTTGTTCGATGCTTCGGAAATCACTGACGCACGCCGTACCCGTGGTTCGCGGAGACATCGAATAAAAGAACTCAATGGTGAAAATCAAGAAGCTTGCGTATCGTTCGACAGCTCGTCAACGCGGTATGTATAAAGCTCGTGTCGATTCTTGACAAATATTATAGAAACGAACAATTTTCGATGTATCCGTTTCCTTGTAATAAGCTCTTGAAAGTAGCACAATTTTATATCAGGATATTATTTTATATTTAGGATTATAATATTATTTATTATTATAATTATTATTATAATATTATAAATATAATATTATTTTATATTATTTATATCAGGATATTTATATATTTTATTTTAATATTATTATTTGCTCACTTTTCTATACTTTTCTCTACATTGAAACGAGATTAATTTACGTTTATTTATAAAATAGTAGCATCTTTCGGTTTAGCCTCCCCGTTTCCCGTACAAGACTCACTCTCCGTTGTCTTTGCGGATCTTTGTGGTTTAGGATGTTATCGTCATTTTTCTGGGCACAAGCAGCTCGAGGAACGCGTCGAACGCACATTGTTGATTCATTTCGATGTTAATTCGCAAGCTTCGATCACGCAAATGAACTCGTGGGCAAATTTCAAATGTGACAATTGCACTTGTTTTCTTAGAAGTAAAAAGGTTTACTCGTTTCCGTTTAAGCGAGTAAAGGTTCTCTTGTGATTCAATAAAATAAAATAATTTTATTCGTTGATAATAAATTAAGTAAATCAAATATTCCGAACTATGGCACAAATATTTTCAGAAACGCTACTTGAAGTGTTATCTTAAAAATTCGTTGCAACGAGTGGAATACTTTATTTTTAAAAGTACAGTCTTTTAGATCTAAGATAACGTAATATAATATATGATATAAATATCTGCTATTCGCCATTTAAAATACAATTGAATCCAGCTCGCCGTAACTAGCTTGCTCCCGAAACGGAAATGCTACTTTTGTCCACGATTTCGGGCGAGTTGCGCGTCGTTTCACGGTTGTGTAGGTTGCGCGGTCAAATCGCAGATTTTCAGCAAATCGAGCAAAACGTCTCCGCGAGTACGGAAAAAGGAAGAGTAGATAACCGAAACGCGGAGCGACGGAATGGAAACGAGAAAGAGAGGGCGAAAGAGGTAGGGAGAGGGCGTTTAAATACGACGAGAGATGCGCGTGCTCCTTCAGTCCGGCGCTAACAGTCCAAACCGATCCACATCCGGACTCCGGCGAAAAGGAAATCTAGTCCCCAGCCCTCTCCCGAAAACAAAAAATATCGATCGAAAATCCTCCCCGAGAAAGGAAAGGAGACATCGAAAACCCGAAAGGCTCGGAACGAAGAGGCGAGGATCCAGTTCCGAGCGACGTCGAAACGGAGCGAGAACGCCGTTTCCGGGAAACGCGGGTACAGTGCCGGCCTGAGAAGGAAACTGGAAGTGGCGGAAGATTGTTAATCGGAAGCACAGGACAAAGTGTGTACATGTGGTAATGTGTCGGTGAACAAGTTCCGAGGAGGAGGAAGATCCACCGAGATAGAAGACGCGCGCCGGTGAACGAGAAACAGTCCCGAGGAGTGTCCAGAATGACAAACAGCATGAAGCAGACAGTTATTAAGTGAGTTTCCATTCGCGTGCACGATTGTTGCTCGAAAAAATGGACAGGATCTTCGGGACTCCGTAAACGCGAGAGCGTATCGAGCGAGTACAAGCGGTCGACGGTAATTCGCTCCGCGACGAATCGCTGGATTTTTCGTCGGCGAAATTTAACGTTCACGCGTTTCGGCTGCCGCTCGAATAATAAGCGCCGATCGGCGCGTGTTCCTAAATAAAAGAAAAGACAAAAAAGCATCCTAAATCGTGGCTAATGCTCGTGGCGTGCTTCGCTGGGTTTTACGCGTCGCGAATATTTCACGACGCTGGTTCACCTTTCAATTATTTCTCGGCTCTTGGAACGCGTCTCATTGACCGATAAAGCGCACGGATAAGGGAGATATAAAGCGACGATAAACCGGTCGGTACAAGGAAATGTCGAATACGCGTGTGCGCGCGTGTTTATTATTATTAAAAATCCATGTTTCCTGTGTTCGCAGTATCACCGACGCGTTTGGCAATGTTTCGCGCTGGCTTATCGCATCGTTAATTTAGTATACAAGATTCCGATGACTTGTGAAATCATTCCCTATCTACTACCGAACTTGCCGAAACTGTCGGATGCATTGTCGTATGGCACCGAGATAACGGATCGCGTTGTGGCAACAGCGAACGGGCCCCGTAATCACTGCAATCGCGATAATTTCACGGAAAAAAGGGAATCGTTATCTCGTTGGTCGTGTACCCTGCAAATAGAACGTGCCTGTCTGTTTACCGCGAAGAAACGCTGATAATGATCGTCGGCGGGAACTGCTTTTGAGCTAGAACTGCAAGGACAATAACATCGATCGTGCCGGGGTGGTCCGTACGACGCTTCCCTTTCGATTTCCTCGATTTTACACTAAAAATATCATTGTCGTCATTGTTCAACTGTCCTCGGTCCAGTCGTACAGGGTGAATCTAAATTAATGTCACGAGGCAGATGTATTCTACAAATGTTATTCATTTAATTATAAGTTCTGGTACTTGTTTGGAAAATACAAACATACCTTTTTTAAGGTAAATAGTTTCGTCGAACAATTTTACGCACAGTATTCGCTGTAATTATTCAATGATATTCTCGATTAAAAATGTACGTCTCAAAAATGCATCGACATCAAGCAATAATTTATTATTCGCGTGTACGAGGAAATGATTATTTAACTATAAAGCGATCGTGTCCTAAATTGCTTACATAATTTATAAAAGTTCTTGCTACGAAGAACTTTTACTTCATAAATTGACTCTGTTAAATTTATCTGGTTATATTGAAAATTGAGAATAAAATACTTTCATTTCCAAGATGTGCAATAATTCGAAGAGCTATATTTTATTAACGTGGCTCGTATTATACTACGAACCATATAACCAGGAAATAACTGCTCGTTATGTCATCCTATTCAGATATCCATAGCTACGCGATGAAAGTATCGCAAAAATAGATCTAAAAGTCGCACCGATCCGAGTCCTTTCTTTCTTGTTCTCGACGGAGTAAAAAGACAACGGTGGGATTGCAACAAGCGATCTAGCATTAACCAGCAAAGGATGACTGCCGCCGAATCGGCAACATGAAATTCGGGAGTCTAGCTCCCAGAGTTGTAAAGAAACGATTGAATTATTTAACAAGAGATCGATTCATATTTTCCTTTCCCTTGAACACTCGAGACTTTCCTATTTCAAGAACTCTCATCTGCTGACTATTAAAACGACTTATTTGTTACACTTTCATATCGGAGAAAGGAAGCGAGACTAGCGGCATGTTACGAATGACTATACCGAAAAACGCAGCCCTGGGATCGTGAAATATAAAACGTGCCCGAGGACTGGACGACGTAACCAACGAGAAATATTCCTGTAAATAAATATTCCGTGAACGTTTCGGCGAGAAATCGTGTGATTTCAATGCAGGTCGACATCCGCGGTGATAAGCACGCCGCCCAGGCGTTGATGTTACGCTATACCTCTGCCATTATTCTGCTGGCAAAATTCTGCGAAGCCGTAGAAATTGATTTTCGAGTTGGATAATAATTATCGTGGAAACGCGCGGTTCCATCGCATTGTGTTTCCAATGGTGAACATTTCTGCAGTCGCTGCAAACATAGTCGAAATCACGAACATATTCTTACCACTCTGTAAAATCGGTTTCAGGTTAAAGCGATCTCGTCTATTTATTTTTAGCGAAAGAGTTTGTACAAGTGCTACTTTCTGCTTCGTTAATTTTCTGTTTGAAAATGTATTTATGTTGAACGTTCAGTTTCACATGCCATGCTTCGTATTTCATTCGCTGTGAACTTAAGCTTCGCGCGATCTTTCCGTGTCCTCCTTCGGCAAGCGACAGAGTTAAAACAGCGATAAAATCGAATCCGCTCCGGCTCTAATACACTTCCTACTTTGTAGAACCAATTAACACGGCATTGCTAAAGATCCTGTTTCGCGGCTAGGAAAAGTGCCGCCGGCGAGATCTCGAAGGTCTTTAACTATAAAACTTGCCCGATTTCTTTTCCACGCGCGCGCCGAGTTTGCCGCGCGGACAACAATGAAATTCGCGCGCGCGAATCGATACGAATCGTCAACGAATTCCGCGAGAACTCGCGCGGCATTTCGAAAAGCCTGCGCGATTAAATTCTCCCGTTGCGGCGGGCTTCAACGAGAGAATTCGCGGGGCGTCGAGATTCTCCAATTTCTCCGTTACGAAAGAAACTTGAAAGTCTTCGGTTAATTAACCCGACGACTGAGTTTTGTTTAAAAGGTAATCGGAGTAATTTTGCGAAACGCGAAGCCGCCGAAGCGCGGTGAAACATAAGCAAACGTCTTCCCTTCTCTGCAAACACGTTTCGTTTCTTCTTGTTTCGGCAGGATTTCGCCGAAATTTTTGCCAGTGTTTGCGGTTCCAACGAAACGCGACTGTATCGCGTTGCACGTAATTGCGAATCGTATGTGCGCGCGCGTCCGTGTGGCTTTGTCCACGGTCGGCAGGTGTTTTGCGAGAGACGATTGCGTCAAAAATGTTTTGCGATCGAGGTTTGTATACGGGACACGTATTCTGGAGAAGAGGAAACGCGTGGTGAACGTACGCGCGAGCTTGTAAGTCGCAACGAACGTATGCTCGATCGATTCTCAAACTCGTAGCGGTGAAAGTCCTTCAAAGCTAGTTTCACGTTCCACGATATCATACTCCATCTCGAGATACGCTAGTGTGCTTGCTCGTACACGGATCGACACTCTACTCGATCATCGATGAATCTACAGGGTGTCCGAGAAACGTCTCGCTGATCCGGAAACGAGGGGTTCCCGAGGCCATTTCGAGCAACTTTTTCCTCAGCGAAAATGCGATCCGCGGCTTCGTTTGCGAGTTATCAACGAAAAACTCTGACCAATGAGAGGCGAGCTCGACCGGCGCGAGGCGGTCCAGTCGACGAGCCCCGGTTCCGCTGATTGGCTCGGCCATCTCGCGCCAGCTGATCTCGCCTCGCATTGGTCACCGTTTTCCGCTAATAACTCGCAAACGAAGCCGCGGATTGCATTTTCGCCGAGGAAAAAGTTGCTTCGAATAACTTCAAGAACCCCTTTATTTTGCATTGCAAATCCTATCGTCTGAAAATGTTTAACTTTCGTTCGAACAATAATTATAGGTTTCTGGTTGATGCCAACTGGAAACGAATGAACGAGAAATTCGCGTCGAATCGGAGACAAATTAGAAACTAAAGGGAAGAAGAAATTTAGTTCAACGGTGTAAATGTTTAGTGAAATTTTATTGTGTCTTGGGAATCTCGTTGCAATTCTAATCATCCCGTTAACGACAATTAAACCGCGATTCGCGCGCGATGCTATTCGAAGAAGAAAGAAATTTCGAATTAATAGCAAGTAGATTTCTCAAGGATCGTAGAATCGAACATGAGAAATAACAATCGTAAAGATAAACGGGAGAAAGCGAGAAGAAAGCGAACGAGAACTTTATTCTGTACCAATCGCCACGTCGAACATTGTATGTAAATTTTGTAATTAGTGCTCGTTACGCGGAAAGCTGGCTATAAAAATACGTGGTTCTAATTCGATGTTGAACGTTTCTGCGATCCGATGGAGTTTCTGGGAAAATGAAGTGTGTTTGCATCGGGTCGTGGCAGGAAATATTGCTCTTTAGAAGCCGCCGATGCTTTTACGCCGGAACCCCGTACGACGATATTATTCTGTTACGATACCTGTGGCGCGCATTATTCCGCGGCCATAAGCAACGTCGCGTCGACGACGACACGGCGTCATTGCTCGTCGAAAACTCCATAGTCGACGGTTTAATTAAATTCGTTTCTATCTAATAAAGAGAGCACGGGGGCAAACTTGTACTTCCTCCATCGTGAATTCTGTTAACGATCAATAACTCCGCTTTCGAACGTGCAATATCGTCGAGAAATTTATTTTTCAACGCTCGATCGCGCGACAACATTTCTCATTACGAAAATAATTCCTGGTCTTTTACGCGAGCCCTTGACCGACCATCGAAGCTCCAAGCAAAATCCTGTTTTTATCTGGATTATTAGTTGACAGTTTCCTGCGAATTCGCGCGCATTCGACGCATTAAACTCGCGAGGACGCGCATCTTTTTATTCCCGATTGCTACCGCTAAAAATGGCTAAAAATGCTGTTTTAAGTTTCGAATTGCGTACAACTCGAGAGCGATTGCAATTCATGAAACGCGGACCGGATCTAGGAAAGAGGCGTTCTTTTCTGAAATTTCTGCAACAATTTCATAAGAGGAGAAGTGAAAGCGACCTGCCCGGGTTCGTCGGGACAACCGTCCGGGAGAAATCTCGCGATTTAAAATAAAGGGAAGCGAAGACCAAGCTTTTCGTGCCCGCATGAATTATGAAAGCGGCGCGGGACGATGTTGCAAAACCCGGCGTCGCTTTTCCGCGACTTTCTGCGTATCGAAGGATTATAAAACAGAGATACAGCCGCCGCTGACCGTGCAAATATTTGAAAACAATCGCCGACGGGCGTCGTGTACGCGTTTCATTTTGAAATCGATTCCGTTCATTCGGATATAAACACGCAAACAACGACAAATCAAATATCTTGTTTAAACTTCGCCCGATCACGCGCCGTCACGCGAGTCCGATTCGTCCGTAAGATTTCTGGTGGTTTTCACGATTCCGCGGGAACGTCTGCCGTCCCGATGCATCAATACGGAAGAGTCAATATTGTAACTCGTGTCGAGTGCTAACAAATTTTGCCAGAGAGGTTCTCGCGTTCCGAAAAATTTCCATCGAAACCTAGGCTTCGATGTTTTCGCGAATATTCCGAAAAAGCTTGCAGAAATTTTCGGAAATTTTCGGAAATTCTTCACCGTGATCGGATCGAATGTTACTCGATTTTTGAAACTAGAACATCGCGTGTTCTCGGCAAATTTCATTCGACGGCGCCTACAATCTTGTCGTCTCGGTGCACCTACAAAAAGTTTCAAGCCGGTAGAAAATAGTTTCGATAATATCCGCGTGAAACGATCGCCACTCGACACAACGGACGTTGCTAAAAACAAGTGTACACAATGAAAGTTCTTATTTACATTTTTTCCCCGCTTATAACCGGTTGCGTTCGCCGACAGATAATTGTCATATCGGGCACACTTCTTCAGCTTCTCTGCAAAAGGTCCGTTACTTTCTACAGGAAGCGGCTGCTCCAAGCGACGCACACCGGTTGAAACCGATACCTTTAATGGGATTTAAGCTGCGCTAAAATTGAACAACATCCGCCTCGTGCCTAATACTTTTACATATTCGCCGTCGTGCGTATTTTAATGTCACTTAAGATCGTATTACGTTGCCGAGAATAATGGAACGCTGAATAAAAGTGAACGCAAACCGTGTTCTATTGTAACGAATTTCGCTTCGCGATATCTTTCGCATTTCGCTTTTCCCGATATTCGATCGATGGATCACTATCTATTGATAGATACATAGTTGTAAGTGGGTGAAAAATCGTGCAAGGTAACACATGCCAAGCAATCGAATATGTAGTCCGGTTAACATTCTTTTCGGTCGAGACCGTGATACGTACATTCCGAGCATCGGAAACAGTATTCTCGTGCCGAATACGTTTAAGTAATTGGCATTGATCCATCTTTTTTGGCCGATTTCCTTAAGAGGTCGCGGATACGCGAAACACGGAAACCTCGTTCGCGTTGGACAGTGACTTCGGGTTAAACGTGATAAGAAACGTTAAGTGAGATCGCGTGTCGTTTGAGATCACCTAATCGCTCACCTGCAGGGAGCATCTAATTCCGAGTTCCATCAATAAATTCTCCCGAATTTTTCCCTCGCTC